CTTCACGATAAATTCCGTTATCTCTTTTCTAAGCGAAGATCTACGATTTTGAAAAAAAAATCGTGTTTTGCCTATAGTGCGACGCCTTTAACCATTGTGTATCACAACTTTAAGTTATCGATTTTTTTTTAATCCCCCCTCCCCCCCTTTCGCCAAATCCTGGCTACGCCACTGACGCGTTGTAATATTAAGAAAAATTTTATGAATTTACTGGGGGAAATAACGCATAGTAAACAAGAATACTTTTTATTTGATTATCGTTTTAAAATGTTCGTATTTAAAAACAATACTTTCATACCACGCACACGTGGTGTTGAATCAAACTGAACATTTGAATGCACATTTACATGTCTGGCTGTAGTTGAGTGCACGAAGATGCTTGTCACAATTTGCTAATTTCCAGAGCGTCAGGGTTCAAATCCCAGCAGCATGGAATTTAAATATTTTTTTTTTAACTTAATTATGAAAAAGCATCGGTTAAGTGCAAAGCGCTTCATTTTAATATTGGCGTATTTCAATTGAATAATTCTATACTAAATACTAAAATTTGTATGCGGTACATGCGTTCTTCAGAGAGCCGCATAAAAAAAATCTGCATAAAAAAGTTCTTTATTTCATACAAAAGAAGGGGATGCGTTCCAGCATTTTCAAAAACCGCATAAATTCAGATACTCCATGTAAAAAATTCTGAAAACTGCATAAAACAATCCAGTGAGGCATTATTGAGCAAAAAAAAATATTTATTTCTTCACTTCAACACTTATTATTCCATGTAAAACCGAACATTAATGAAATAAATGAAATTTTATCTGTATTTTAACCAAAAAAAAAAAATACCACAATAAATACATGAGTGATGTAAGAATACATAAAAAAAAATTTAGAAAAAAAGGTTTTTTCTTAACAGCGGTCGCCCCTCGGCTGGCAATGGCAAACCTCCGAGTGTATTTCTGCCATGAAAAACAGCTTCTCGTAAAAATACAATCGCCCTTCGGAGAAGGCGTAAAACTGTAGGCCCCTCCCCTTTGTGTGACAACATCAAGGCGCACACCACAAATTGGAGGAGAAGCTCGGCCAAACACTAACATATGTGTAAGCGCCAAACTATTATTATTATTATTATGTAAGAATACAAAGACAAATTATTTATCAGAAGCATTGTCTTTTACACACTGAAAAAAGTAATAAAAACTCTCAAAAAAGCAAAATCGCTACTGCGAAATAATGGTTTGAAAAACCGCATAAATTCAAATCCGCATAAAAAGAGACCTAAGTGTACTTAAATTTATTACGAGTTGGGTTGGTGCTCTTTCATATGCGATTTTTTTTTAATTTAGCACGTTTTGCACAAGCAATAGTTGACGATTAATATAAGTATGTACCTAAATACATTAAAATGACATGCACACAGTTTTACAATTATATTAAGCAAAAGCCAGAAGTTTTAAAACAAATTCACAGCAACGAAACAAATGACTGATATTTTAATGTTACCTTGTATTTAATTTTTTTCTTTCGTGAAACCTAGACTACTTATAAGTACCGTGCCGCACAAAATTATTGGCTCGGAGACTCTTTCATCTGATCACAACTTCTAATCAGATATTTTAGAAAAATTTTGAAAATGTAGCTTTTGAGCCAAATAGTAAAGTGCAAGTCTGAAGTTACCAGAAAATTTCGTTGATTTTTTGCAATTATTTATTTTTTGCTGACAGTGTCTTCCACATACAAAAAAATGTCGAACATTGTTTGTATTTGAAGAAACTCTCAGTAAAAACAATACCAAAAATCAACTAAATTTGTATGGGCTGCAAAACTTCGTTTTAAAAATTTTTATAAAAAAGTCTGAATAGAAAGTTGCGAATTTGTATGCAAATTTATTGCATTTTCCCGAGTTTTGCACAAAGTTAAGAAATTTTATTTTTATGTTTTCTGATGTATTTAGTATAAACTGTATTTATATAAGGAACAAAAAAGGTACATGCATTGTGAAAAATTCTCTGTGCTTTAGTTGTGATAAACTGTTTTGTTTTGCTGGTGTACGTTGTAATGATCTCATGATCTCATGTTTTTATGTTTTTGTTTTTGTTTGTCAAAATAAAATTTTACTACATCCTTTCGTACGTAATTTTTGTCGAAACGAAACGGAAGGGCGCGAGAGGCCTCTCCCTTAATTGTCCCGGTTTGGCAACAGAGATATCTGGCAGCCCTAGCCATGATGCTAGATTGTGAAGATGAAAGTCATGAGGATACATCCGAAATTTGCGGCCCAGATGCAATTCTCGAATTATTGAACCGCAAAAAAAAACTGAAGTCCTCTCAACTGGTGCAGCGTCAATTGAAAAGAATTAACAATTTTGGAAAGTTTCAAGTTTTTCAAGTTTGTCGCCTCGAGCGCGTAGTTATTTAATGGCGCAGGTTTGATTTACGACCCGTTAGGAAACAGGCTGTATTCCGAAAAAGCAGCAAAATTACTCTTTCTTAAATACAATGCTCCAACTTTTTAATTTAAGTGCTAAATAAAAAAAAAATAAAAATTACTAAATTTTTCATTTTTTTTTTTTACCTAAATCACCGAATGTACTCACCAAAAAATATTTCGTAAAATATAGTGAAAGGTCGCATAGATGGACGCTCTAATAAGCGGACACATTCTTGGGAACGAACAATTTTTGGGTTTTTTTCCATACAAAATGCTCTCACATATACGGACTTTCCGATAAACGGACGCGGACACTCAAAAATGTCCAGTTATGAAAAAACCTCTCCCATAAGCGCCCATATAGCCCATATTCAAAAATATTTTCTTTTCTAGAAAAAGTGTTGCCTTTTCGTTGCCAATGGGCACTGAGATTTGTCGGTAGGAAAGAAAACGCAATAAATTTGAATTCATTTTTAATTTACCCTGTTTCTGTCTATTGAAGAATAAATATTATTTTAATTTAGAAACCCGCAATTTCAATTTTTTAAGTATTAATTTTTATTTTATTTTTTACGAAATTCCTGTAAGCGGACATCTCTCATAGGCGGACAAAAAACGTGACCATCGGTGTCCGCATATTGGAGCTTTCACCAAGGTAGTAGTAGCTGGGCTGCCGTTTTGTTTTTTTCTCCATTTCGTGAAAAATCTAAACTGTCAAACTTTGCTAAATTCATATACACATTCACATACACATACATTAGCATCCTTTCTGCTTGCTCTTGATTGGTCGAACGTGCTTATATTTCTTTATATTTTGACATTCTAGGTTTCCCAAGCAACAACAAAATACATGGCGGTGTCGTGTTTGCTCTACTGCTATTACCTGTAGCTTTCACTGTATTTGACATCCGCATTCGCATTCGCATCCGCGGATGTTAGCTTTTATTGTCTAAAATTCCATATTCGTAACATCCCTAGTATGTACATACATATGTACGTATGTATTCGGTAGTTCAAGCTCTACATCAGTACGTCGAACATTGAATTGAGTATGAAACACGTAAAGAAGTCTATGTTCGGGAAAAGCCACACTTTATACACCCCATGCACTTGAATAGGGACAATGCTTTTTCGCTGTTTTTTTTCGTGTTAATTTTCTTTTATTTAATTCCCATTACAAAGTCCCACAAAAAAAGTGGCATGTACTTTGGACAGGAATACCCACCTCCATGTATTTTAGTGCTCTGAACAGTAATCAGAAAACGGACTTCAGATTCGTGCTCAGCGCATCAAAAATCATAAGGAAAAGATCGTCTTATCCCCGATCCCTGCATGGGGGTGAAATAACACAAAAGGCAATAACACAAATTTGTGTTATTTCCCAATTGAATGTGAAGTAACCAGGGACGTGAACCGGTTTTGAACCGAACCGGTTTTGAACCGGAAACCGCTTTTTTCTATTAACTAACTGAACCATTAACCGAACCGAAATTTTCCACAAATGTTTGATCCGAACCGAAAACCGAACCACTTTCTGTAAAGGTTTAAAGGTTCGTTTCAACCAATTTTCAATAGATAAATGTACCCACCCTTTCTTCATTTTGTTAAACATGGTAACACCTTCCATGTTTTTTACCATGTGACAATATCAAATGTAAAGGCAGCCCATCTCACTTGACCCTTGACCTTGCGCGTTGTTGCACTTGACACTTGACACTGAAATTTGCGCCTTATTTTGTTGTTTTTCGAACCGTTGAACCGAACCGAAACCCCGGTTCAAAGACCATAAAAACCGCTTTGATGAACCAATCCAAAAGTGCAACAACGGTTCGAACCGCAGAACCGAACCGACCAAATTGTTCATCCGGTTCACGTCCCTGGAAGTAACACAAGTTTGCTTTATTTCATTTCTCGTTGAGCAATAAGACCAACTTTTAAACATTTAAACTTAACAATTGAGTAATAAAAAAAAATAGTGCGCATAGGTAGTCACCCAGTTACATTTGACAAAAAGTAGTAAATGAACAAGTTAAATTGACGGATTTGTAAGTATACAATTTTGAAAGTTCCCACCGTCGCGGTTTAGAAAAAATAATAATAATAAGATTACACAAGTTCACTTCTGAAACTGCTTTTAAATGTCCAAGTAATGGGAATTATTGCGAATGGTGTTATTGCTTGCACCCCACCCATGGTGGAGTTATACCAGTAGAAGTAATATTAGAGTGAGAAGAAATATTTTGGCACTGCCTCATTTGAAAAATTACCTTTAAATCAAAACTGAGATTTTGGTATTATTTGCCATTTAAAAGTGAAATGAAACAAATTGCGCATTATTTCCGTTTGTGTTATTATATGGGAGGTGAACGTGGTTATTGTCCGACTTAAAAAAACTTAAAACGTTTGTTACTGTAGGTAGTCAAAGTCAACAGCTGTGTCAAGTTTCGATTCGATTTTAAAAGCTTCGAAGTTGTGATTTATACCAAGAAATTTTAGAATCCCAAAATAACATATTTTTGCTTTTGCATAAAAAAGTTTCAATCGGTCCTATAACAACATTTTTTCTTATTTTTTTTAGGTAGCTCATCAACCACGCACCATAAAATGAGGCTGCTTCTACAACGAAATGCATTTAATATTGATAATAAAACCGTTAAATACGAGAACAATAAATACAATCTTTAAAATAAGACAACCCGTTAAAAACAACAAATCTAACAAAGCAACTTCCACCTCGAACCTTGGTACTCACTAACTAACAAACATATTGAGTATTAAAAGTATTTTTCCTCGCATCAATTGGCTGAAAAATCATTCAAAATTACGAGCTACCACCCACCCACACCAAAAGTCAAACAAAACCCGGCCAACATGGACTCCGGTTCATGGCCGGGTTTTGACGATGAACCACCACCAGAGCCCAGAGACGGTTGGCTACTGGTACGCGTCCATGTACCCGAACTGAACGTCTACAAATGCCTACAATTTCCATCAGACCGTTTAGTTTGGGATGTGAAGCAACAGGTGCTGTCGTCTCTGCCAAAGGTAAGTTGAGAAGTAAGGGTTATTAGCTATTACTATAACTTGTTTTGTTTAATTAAAGGCCAAAAAATTAAAACTATTTAATTCGTAGATTATAAGGCTTTGGTTTTGAATACAATTTACTTTACTATATTTTGAATCCTAACACCACTTATACTCAAACTTTCAAGTTTTGCATGTTATCTTACAGATTTATTTAAGTAAATAATGATTCAAATCAAGTACAAATCATATGCTGATATTCTCAAAAAGGCGTATTCTCAACTTTGCCGAAATCTTACTAAATAAAAGTGTTCTTACGCGGTTAGATACATATGTATGTAATTGCATCTGTCTGTCAAATTCGCAGTATTTATTTAACTAAACCAAACCCAGATGATTATATTTGTGTGTCAGATGAAAATAGAATCATTTCTATTTCGTATGTACGTACATAACTTGTCTTTACACGATATGTTTGCATTTTCATATGTAAAAAGTGATGTACAAATGCAAATACATATCGTGTAAGAACATCTTAACGAATGCATATGTACATACATATATATGTACATATGTATATACAGTGACGAACAAAAGTATTGGCACAGTGAACTTTTCGCAATATATGCAAAATTGTTTACTCTAATTTATTTTCGATACATTTTTATGAATATATAGTTTATTCTACACCAAAATACATAAAAATTAAATCTCTAAACTTCGTGCAAAACTCAGGAAAATTAAATAAATTTGCATACTAATTTGCCACTTTCTATTCAGATTTTTTAGAAAAATTCTACGTATGCTGTTTTATAGCCCATTCAATTTAAGTAAAACAATGTACAAATTTGAAGTTGCTAGAAAATCGCGTTGATTTTTAGCAATTTGTTTCACTCTCCCATAGAAAGTATGTTCGACAATTATTTTTTGGATGGAGAAAACGAGCAACACCCTCCACTTATAAATAAAAAATTATCGGAAATAAATTAAAATAAAAAACTTTGCATATATTGGGAAAATTTCACTGTGCCAAGACTTTTGTTCATCACTGTATAGTGGGTATGCATAATATCGGTGGTTAAAATCAATAGTCGTTAAGTCGACTGAAGATATAATTGAGTTGGGTCGAAAGTCCCGTGCTACTTTATCTCAACTGATTAATAGCCATCAATTTATCATCCTATCGGCGGTCAACGTCCGAAGGAATATTTTCGCTATGAACTATCCTAACTTTTTACTAACCCAGCCAAGCACGATTATTTCGTCTTATTCCAGTGCTGTTAGACAAACTATCTTAATTCAGACGCGCCTTTTTATTTTGTCTTGTGCTAAACTGTTAAGTTATGGAGTTAAGACACAGTAAATATCCATGTCTGAGTTAGGATAGTTTGTCTCAGATAAGATGACATAATCGTACTTGGTTGAGTTAGTACAAAGTTAAAACAGTTCATGGAGTTGAGATAGGGTCAATTAATCGCCATCGCCCAGTTTAGATAAAGTAGCACGGGACCATCGGAATATACAACCACATTCTCCTGATAAGAATGCATATTTCTATTAACTCCTTCGTAACGTTCTCTTTCAGAGTTATATTGAAAAGTATATTGGCTTATGTCTTGAACAGTTGTTAACTGATTATGCAGGGCTCATACACAGCGTTATTAGATTTAGGGGAATGTATTTCCTTAATGTAGTTTTGATAAAGGAGCTAAATTAAAGACAAGCGGTCATTGCAAACTGAGAACTTTCAAAAGTGAACAGTAGCACAAGCGATTTTAAGTGTTACTTAATTACTAGAAGGATAGTATAATTATAATTTTTTACATCAGTATTTTCGAGTGAAAATCCCATCGTACAGTTTCCTAAGTAAAAAACCCTATCAGTTGAATGCCAAAAAATTTCTACAGCTGAGATCACCTGTTTTCTGGCATTAAGTATTATCTTTTTTTCCTTTTTATTACAATTGCTTCCATTTCTATTACAATTTACTTAAATTACACCTCTATTAACACACTGAACAAAAAACAGCAATACACTAACCAAAAACACACCTACAGCTTGCCAGAAAAAACGGTAAGGGCCGGTTGTTCAATGTCTGATTAGCACTAATCAGAGGTAGAAGCTCCGGTTAAAAACAACGACTGCTTTATCGATCACATGTTATATGCATGATGACGAAAACGTCGATAATGATGTTTAACCTGCAAGTAGTGATAACCAGACATTGAACAACCGGCCCTATGAGGTGGAGCTACGTTTTTTATAGAACTGTGCGATGGAAAATCCCTAATTCTACATTAAATTTATTATGCTGAGCCTTTTAAATTTCACCCGAAGATCTTGAAACAACGACTATAATTCTAAAATGTGTGATTTTCGACTAAGGCTTAAGACCTTTGACCACTGATACTATTTTTGATTTGTGCTTGATTTTGGAACGCTTTTATTTATTTGTTTTTTTTTTTTTAATTTTGTCTATTTTGCCTTTCTTTTCTTATAACGCTTTTATGAATCTGCTTTTATAACCAAATAAATATCAATCAACTTGTACACAAACACTTTCAATATTCGTAAATGTCTGCGCACAATTCGACACTTGCCGACAATGCATTCAATACTGAACGGCCCCGCCACACAACTACATAAATATGAACGTTTGGCTGGTGAAATGATCGCACTACAATTATACATACATACTTATGTATACAACACTGGATTAACGTTTTATATTATTTTCTGCTAAAACATTCATAGGTGGCCTTTTGGTTTAAGGTTGGTGTTTAATATATATTTAATAAGTTTATCGCATGCTTATAAAAGAATATTATTCATACCGCTGCTTGTTATGATTATTTTTGTTATGCGATACATACAAATTTTTGTAATGGCGGATGTAATTTGATAGATCCAGCTTGCATGATCTATACAAGAACTATTTTAACTGCAAACATTCATAATATATATATATTTTTTTATATTCTTACAAAGGAACTAAAAGAGAGTTTCAACTATGGACTCTTTTGCCCTCCTTCGAATGGGAAGGCAGGCAAATTTCTCGATGAAGAGCGCCGGCTAGGTGACTATCCCTTCAACGGTCCTGTCGGCTACTTAGAGGTGATTACAGAGTTATTCATAAGAAAGCTTACATGTATACCTATGTGCTAGTATGTGAGAGTTCATTTCAAATTTTTTATTTTTTTTTTTCTTGTTCACTTATATCGTTTGCAGTTGAAGTACAAGAGACGAGTTTACAAAATGCTAAACTTGGACGAAAGGCAGTTAAAAGCTTTGCACACTCGCGCCAACTTACGACGGTTTCTGGAGTGCATCAATGCAGGTCATGTGGAAAAGATAGCAAAAATGTGTGCCAAGGGATTAGATCCGAATTTCCATTGTCCAGAAAGTGGTGAAACCCCATTAACAGTTGCGACTGGAGCTAAAAAACCAAACAAATTACTAATAGCATTGGTGAACGGTGGTGCTTTGCTGGATTATCGCACAAAAGACGGCACTACAGCTCTCCATAGAGCCGTTGAAAAGGACTCTCTCGAGGCAGTAACGTAAGTTTGAAGCACAAATCTAGTATTCCACAAAAGAAATTACAACGTTTTTCTTTTTATAAATGACAAGGACATTATTGGAATTGGGTGCGTCACCTAACTACAAGGACGGACGTGGCATAACACCTTTATATGTATCGATAGCTCGAAAATGTGATCCAAAAGTAACAGAGAACTTACTACACGATCACGCGACATTGGGTATACAAGATACACAAGGTTGGAATGAAGTACATCAGGTGAGTACTCTCCGTCTTTGAACTTTTCGCTAACAACTTTAAATCGGTTTAGAGGGTTATTTGAGTATATTTGTACCAATAACATAAATATATACATTATCTATATTTAAGGTCAGCAAAAAAGTATTTTTTTTTTCAAATAAAAAATATGTGTATAGAAGTGGTAGTAGGTGCATCTGTATATTTCGAAAAGACACAACAGAAAAAACGAAAAACCATTAATAAGTTTTATTCAGTTCTTCGTTAGATCTTCTTCGATTGGTATGCGTATCCAAATGTGAAGAGTAGCTTATTTAATTTAATATTAAGGGGAAATTCTCTATAACTAAGCTTGGAACGATAATTATTGCACAGAACCCCAAGCATACCTTTGCTGAAACCTGTTAGTGTCCCCCAATTATCGTTGCGAATGTCAGTTCATCTAAATTAAAGAGTACGTATCCCATGGTATGTAGTTAGTAGAAATCAAATTGATAAAGTTCCGCTAAAAATCAGTTACCTCTTATTATTGCCTATTAATAACCCGGACTTTCCAATGTTGCAATAACTCGAATAAAGCTGAAAATAGGCACGTATGTTGCGAATACCATTGTAAATGATCTTCAACAAAATTTACTCAAGGTCAAACGGTAAGATTTATCGTGAAAACAGGTTAGTCAAAAGTGTACATCATACAATTATGTACAAAAACTGCTAAGATCCTTTGGTCCTAAGAATTGTCATTTCTTCAGTTATGGAATCGATGGGCACTTTTCCCATTTCATTTATAATGATGATGTTCCCAACATTCGTTCCAGCTTCGTTCAGCTCTTTACCAATTATTGTAAGCTTGCCCCTATTTAATGAGTTAACTCTACTCTCTAAAGCAATGCTTTAAAGTAAATGTTATTGTAGTGAATTGATTTTTTCATTATGTAAATCGAAAACAATTTTATTGCTTTTCTAAGATTTTTAACCGAGACTTTTTGTGATTTCACAACGAAGGTAGTCTTGTGAGCTGTCCAACCTAGACTTAACGGACTTAGGCTAATGGCTTATTTGCATATACCATGACATGTAGCGCAACTCCTGTTACTAAGTTCTTATTGAAGGAAAGTTTATTCTGATATTGTATTTTCTCGAATTGCTATCGAGGAACTAATTTACTAAGGATAACACATGTTGCGTAAAAAAAATATGAATTGTACTCTATGCGAGCATTTTAACTTTTCGAAAGGTGTTGGTTTAAATACTAATCCTAGAAATTGCTTTGTATGGGCTACCCTTTGATATATTTTTATGGTCGTTAGTTTTGTAGGTTACTTAACACAGATTAAATGCTATAAATATTTACAAAAGTTTACACTATTTAGTTACTAAGTTACTGAAATTATTTATTCAAAACTATAAGTAATTCTTGTCTTTTTGGCTTTTTATATAATACCTTCTTCAACTTCAACTCAATGCATTATATTACACAAATATGTTTATGCGTATCCTTTAAACGTAAACAAATAACCCTATGGAATAATGGTAGGCCTGTCGCCATGGTCTGGTACAACATTTGGAACATTTATTGTTTTATGGTGCTGACATGGATGGTCGTAACGCTTCCGGTAACACACCATTGCATGTATGCGCTGTTAACAACCAAGAGGCTTGTGCTAAAATGCTTCTGTTTCGTGGTGCACAACGTGCCGCCCTCAATTATGCCAATCAAACTCCCTATCAGGTACATATTTTTCCAAACTTTGCTTAAAAATGTTAACAAATAACGCTTTCGACGTGGAATTAATAAAAAAAAGTACTTCCAACTTTCGAATCGCGAATTTTTAGGACCAAAAATTTAAAGTTTCAAATCTATTAAAAAAAAACTTAAAGGATATAAGAAATTTTCGATTCGAGAGTCTTTATACTTAATTTACATAAGATGTGTATGCTTGTATGGACTATGAATACTTAAATTATATTGTTTTAAGTTTGCTTCTGTGAAATCTGTTTATGATAACAATCAGTAGCAGCTTACAAAAAATATGCAACTGTAGCAACCGTGAAATATTTTTACTTATTGCTTTAAAAAAAAAAAAACATGTATCGTCATCATTCACAGATACCCTTGTGAGCGTTTTAGGGTTTTCTGGCTTTATAAAGTTCATAAATCTGCTATTTTTTTGAAGATATTATTCTAATATTCTATTATTATTATAATAGTAATAATTATTATTATTATTCTAATTATGCGGGGTGATTTTGAGAACAAACTAACTAACTAATCCTAAAAGCATATTCATAAAAAGGCTTGTCACATAAAATGATTGTGAATGATGGCGATATTTATATGTACATATGTATGTACGTAAGTGCATATGCATACAAATATACTTGCTTATAAGCACCAGAATAATGCAATTCTTTTCTAATTAAGGTGGCTGTAATCGCAGGAAATATGGAACTTGCGGAAATAATACAAAATTATAAGCCTGATGATGTTGGTGAGTAAAAATTGATGATATGGCATATGAGGTAGTATGTACATACATACACGTACCAAAATGTATTCATATACATATGTAAATGCATGAATATATACATATGTAAATCTTACGATGTTTAACGTACGTTCAGTAGATGAAAGCATGTTTAGTGACAGAAAAGCTGACATATCTGTGGTACAAGAATCATAAAAATATTATAATGATCTTCAGATTTGAAGCTTACTTTGATGGGATTTGGCGTCATAAAAATTAATGCTCTAAGGGCCAGAGCGTAGTTAACCAATGATAAGAGTTTTACCATTGATTTTCATATTCGCAACGCTCAGTCAACAAAAGTTTAAACCAGCATGCCCCCATAGTTGAACTCTTGAGAAATACAATTTTTTTGTGGAACGAATTTCAAATTTGAGTAGAAAATAATGATTTTTAGAATTTGTATGTATATTTTCAGGCGATACGAATTTCCATAGTTAACTTTGTGACTCGGAATATAAATTCAAAGTTAAACTATTGTTGGTGGTTAAGTTAACAATCGTTTAACTTAGTAATGTGAATTCGGCCCTAAAGCTATTTAATTGGTGACCCGATTTAAAGTGAGAGATATTTTAATATGGTTGAAAATGTGTTTTTGGGTGTTGTACAATATATCACTTTAAATTCCCGATAGGTTTTAAATGATATCTTTGTCATTACGTTAAAAAAAAACGCAGTCGTTAAGTCTATTTCCGCTTGACATTTTTTAAATGTATAAAACTTTATTTCTTTCCCACTGACTTAAATTTTAGTTTTCATATAGTTGAATATTCTATTAACCAGATTTAAATGTTGCATAATTTGATTAGCGTGAAACTTTGTATAATGCTAAAATCCCCTCGAAGTAAGCTTTCAAACTGCGGGGGCCAACCTAGTCTACACGCACGTCACTATGTGCTTGGATGATGTTTAACCCAAAAGTCCTTACCCATTCAATTTTTTCTCAAATTGCTCAAATGATATCAAAAGATATCCTATAATTCTTAACTTTTTTTTTGCTAACTTTTCTAACTTATTCCAAAACCATGCTACAGTTAAAATTTTACGAAGCGACTTATGCCACTTTCAAAATAAACGGCTGATTTCTTTCAAAGCATATATAAATCCCCAAATCATTTTTGTACACTTGGTATCAGGCGAATTCATATAAGGCGGTAGTGTTAGTATACAAAAACAAAAACCAACATGTATTTTGTTTTTGCTTTCGGTACACAAATGTCAAATTTCAGCTATTCTTTGCTCAAGGAGGAAGAGGGAAAGAAATTTCCAACACTCTTACTTTCGCATCTCTCATAAGAAGTTTTGGCATATGTGTACCGAGGCGAATTAAAGCAGCTGTTCTAGCAACACCACCTTAAATGAATTCGCCTTGCTTGGTATGTCAAAAATTATGGCAATAGGAACTTTGAGAAATGAAAATCAAAAATGTTTTCAAAGTGTTATTTGCTCAATAACTTTATGGGCGTGCAACAAATTTTAAATAGCTGGAAAATATACGTTTAACCTTTAACTGCTGACGTGCGTGAGTCAAATCACTTGATTACGATGCAGAATACGAACATGAAAAAAATTGAATGGGTAAAGACTGTTGGGTTGAACCTCATCCAAACACACCCTGACATTTGTGTATTTTTGAAATATTTAGTGAAATAGATTCAAAAATTTATTTAAATACTTTTCTACACCGCTAATTTTAATTACTGCAAAACTACCGCCCTTCATTAATAAATCCTTATCTACTTTGCATCTCATTATTTTAAAATAGACTTTTAAACAAGACTTTACATTTGATTTCTTTCACACTGAATTCGTTTTGAAATACATACATGTTACATGATCTCCTAAAATATTTACTCGTACGTCATTCACATTACTATTACTTTTTATGTTTTTCAAAGGCTTTAAGGATAATCTTCGTTTTTTCTGCGCATAATAGTGAATGTGTATTAGTCGGATGCATACTTTTGGGTCGGCAATCGGGCTGAACGCAATAAACGACTTTAGAGTTAATTTTCGGTTTGCTTAATTAATTAATTCTGGGTTGTAGATTGCGGATCTGTATATCGTTTTTATAGATCAGGTAATTTTCTCCAAGATATTTTCATTTAAAAACTTTTTAAAACAAGTAATTAAAAAAATCAAAATAGTGAAAAAAAAGAAAAATCTACCCCCGGCACCACCTAACGGCTTACATTTTTTGGAGTTTTTTTCTTTCATTTAAGTAATATCTGTATGTAGGTTCAAATATTAAACAAATTTTTTCCCGGATTTATTCCTTTTCATGGAAATATCGGACCATAAATAATGGTTTTTCAAATATATCGAAACCCACGCCACCTAGCAGATTCATTCATATTTCATATTGCATTGTAATCGGGTTGTGAGCTAAGTGTGAAGTTTCAAATCTCTAGCTTAGGCATTCCCAAACTTTTTTCACCGCGGCACCCTTTTTGTGCTAAAAAAAATTTCCCGGCACACCTACTCTTAAAATGTTTGACAATTTCTCATGTTATGCATGGTGTTTTTTTTTAAATGTAGACTCACATATGGGTGTTTCCATACAGCCGTACGCGACATTCGTACGCTTATAGAGTAACGTAAATCTATCAAAAATAGAAGTTACAGAAAAAAGAGATTACGGTTATGTTGCAACCAAAGGGTACTGTGTTTGAGAAAAAAATAAGCAGCCTCGAAACTTTGGTGTGGAATATATCCGTTCAAAACCAGGTGATAACGTACGCGACAAAAAAAGAAGTGGTTTTAAGGCACAAATACATATATGCGAAAGTCTGCGAATCATGAGTTTTTCTTTTCTTTAAAAATTCCTAAACCAAGCTAAATAATGTACCTTTACAATCCTTCCATTTTTTGATAGAAATGATCTCTGGCTAGTTTTATATTAAAAAAAAAAACAATAACGTACGCGACATAACGTACGCGACAATTTTTCTCGTAAGTAATAAAATGTATTTATTGAGAACTCTTCTCGCCACCGTTTCATTGTTTTACAACTATTCTAAATAATTTAAATGGAAAATTGGCAATTAACATTGGTTTTGATGTATTTGATTGAAATTTTCTTACTTACAATAACGTATGCGACAAACCTTAAAGGGTAATACAATTTTTTTTACTTCGGTTGGAAAGAAAATTGTACTGTATATCTTTAACTAGAAGAATTCTCGCTTAAGAATTGTAATCTGCATTACCTGCGACTGCCAATATACAAATGACATAGACAAACAATGTTTTTGCATAACGTACGCGACATTAGAATACTATCAGAAGCAAATCAAAAAATTACCGTTATTCGAGCTCTAACTTCTTTTTCTCATTTTTATAGTTAGTTGTTATTGCAAATTTGATTTTAAGATGTAATTGTAATGTTTCAAATCTCTTCATTTAGTTAATAGGAAAGAGAAAATAGTTCATTTCATTAGAGAAAACTGAGTCGAAGAGACATTCAGTTTTACTCTTCCATTTTTGAGTTTTAAAATTCCTATAAGCTGAAATACTTCTATAATATAAAAATTCGAGTATTTTTCTCTTATTAATTCGTCTTAAAAACCCTTTTCAGGTGTTTTTATTTTTTCAGTCCTGGTTGACATTTTCATGGAAACACCCATATGTAGATTTTCTTGCAACCGACGAAAGTTGGAGATGTTTGCGCTTTCAACACATGTTTAAAAAAACAATAATAATTTTTTTCGCAAGCCTCTTATTTTTTTCCAATTGAGCTCCTGTGGTGGTTTTATTTAGTTTTTGAAAGGTATCCCAATCAGCCAAACGACACCAGTTAAATTTTGAACCAAAGACTGTTCTGTAGATTTGGTCACCAGTGCATATTTTTTCTCAAACAATCTGACTAAAATCTTTCCCCTTGAAAGCCACCGCAAAAGGTGAAAGTGATCCGCACCCATGCCTTCAGCGGCAAGTTTTAAAAGGTTTGAAGCGGGCGACTCTTAGCATAATTATTTATTTCGTAGCGTCATCCAATACAGTTTCTAAACCTTGTGGTGGCATATTTGTAGTCGCCAGGGAATGCGGATGGATCATACAGTGGCTGCTTGTGGCGTTTTCTGCCACTTTCTGCATACTAGACATCGCTCCTTTTGTTTTTCCAACTACTGCGGGTGCTCCATCACTGCAAATATCCGCAAACTTATTCCATTTCAAACCATTTTTCTTTACAAATTTGTCGATAGCTTTAAAAATTTCGTCGTGGTGTAAGTCTCAAGTACTCCGCTCATCAAAAGTTCTTCCTCGATTTGCATTGAGAATGGGTACCTCACAAACACAAGAACAACAGCAAGTCCCACTACGTCGGTAGTTTCGTCAAAGCCACAAACTAAAAAATTCAATGTTTTCAATATTTTTATAAGTTCGTTCTCGATTGCCTCTGAAATGGTGTTGATTCGCTCTTTCACAGTGTGATTGTGGAGTTCCAAAAAAGAAGTAACACGTACACGTGCGCAAAGCTGCTGCGCTGGGTACGAGAACAGTCCAGCCAGCAAAAAATCCAAAAATTAATCGGACAACGGAAGGTAAAAGTGGATGTGCTGGGAATTTTTGTCCGTTTATTGATTCCATTTGCGGACACCTTGACGAAAATGGTTGTGAAAAGGATACGTTTTCGGATGTTTTTCTGACTCAGTTTTTCGTTGACAAAACTACTGGTGAGCTACGTTTAAGAGCGGTGTATACAAGCGTTTTGACAAACCAAGCGAAATATCCCTTTGCCTCAAGCCATTTGTATTGTGTATGGGCTGGTCATACCAGCCGCTTGAGGGAAATTTTAACAAAAATCAAAACTTTTTGATTTTCTGGCCACCATGTTGACGCTTGATCAAACCACTTGCGTGGTGTATGATAAAATCGTTTAATTTCCAACGAAATTTTCACCGAGTGAGGACGTGGCAGAGGAAAATGGAAGAAAACTAAATTTCTTTGCTTGAACGAGTCATGTCTGCATGGTGTATGGCGATATGGAGAAATTAGGTTTGGATTATGTTCGACAAGCAACTTGTCGAACAGTAGACACAAAATAGTAAAACTGTTGCCATACACTAAAAACTAGCTCTACTGCTTAATTACAAAACTTTAATGAAAGTTTAAAAAATTTGCCTGCACCACGACTATACACTATCCGCTAGCGACACCCCTGGCATACGCTCGCGGCACCCCAGAGTTTCACGGCACCCACTTTGGGAAGGCCTGCTCTAGCTCATCGGGAAGTGGGTTGAAAACTGATTGGCAGGCTGGTTACACACAGGTGAAATTTAATAAAAGCTTTTTATATACATGGCGTATGAGTAACATTATTTCCTGCTCATATTTCATACACAAAATTACTACGCATTTTTATTTGACCATTCACCTTTTTTTAATAATTATCGATCTTCTTCGTTAGTTGCTTGATTTTGACAAAAAAAAAATAAATACTAATGAATAAGATTCACAAAGAATATGTTATTAATTTTATTTTTGCCTGTTAAAGTTAGATTTTGCTTTTTCATAAAAATTAGAATATCTTGGAAAATTGACCTGATCTAGGAAAACAGAATACAGATTGGTAATCCACGAATCAAAATTAAATTTAAGTGTCTCGGCGTTTTTTTTTGTCATTTCAAAACTTGATATTTTCCCTACAGTGTAATTTATAAGTTTGGTGATTTTAACGCATTACTTACAAAAATATGCTTCCGGTCACAAAACTATAGAGTTCGCCTTCAAAATTTTTAATCGATTAATATACATACATATAAAACAAATATTTGGATCTTACACAATTGCTAGTGCTTCGTCGAGCTTCTCCTCCAATTTATGGTGTTATTACACAATTGGAGGAACCTACAATTTTGCTCAGCTTTTTTCATGGCAAAAAAACATTTGATGTTTGCTATTGCCCGCCGAGGGACCAGGTATCGAACCCGGCGACCGCCATATACAAATATGTATGTATGCGTTTGGTTTCATATTTCTACATTTTAGTCTTACTAGCCTTTCATAATTGCATTCAAAAATATCTGCATATACAACATACATACATACATAATTCAATGTGAACATCCACAACATCACAATTTCTTCACTCCAATGTTCGTGCATATGTATAATTCGTAATGCTTTGTCGAAATCTTTTTTAAAATCAATTTTCATTAATCTTAGTTCTCCTGCTTGCTTAGCTTGTTTATTGGTTTGTTCCCATATAGATTATTAAATGTTACTTATGTACATATGTATGTATGTATACATACATATCTATATCCGAATTAAATATGAATGCATACTACTCGAACACAATAAACTTAAGCATTTTCAGTTTAATTCTACTGTGGCGTAAACTGCAGTCCTTTTGTATGCCTTTTAAGCGGAATATATATACATATATATGTTTGTAAATGCATATGGATATTTACTTATTATGTTTAGCACGGAATTGCAAGAACAGTAAGTAATAAAGAAACAAGTAAAGAAGTATAACTTCGGGCGAAACTGAAATTTCTATACCCGGCGCAGGTATCCACTGTCGTCGTTCCAACTTTCTTTAAACTACCTAGAAGTCTATAGCAGTCTTATTTATTGTTAAGAGATTGTTGTAAGTATTAACTTGGAGTAATTGAAAGTCATCAGTTATTGAAATACCGGAAATTACCGTTATACGGGAAGCCATGGCAATTTTGGTCCGATTTGGTACTAAGTTTATTAAATGCACAGAGTTTGGTAGAAATTGATAGATTGGTTACCGAGATATACATTTGTGGTCATAAGTGGGCGGCGCCACACCCAAAATCCAAAATTTTTTAATAATCCAATTTTATGTTCAGTGATCATTGTTATTGTCGATTTTGAGTCAATAAGTTTCAGTAGTTACTGATTTATCGCAGTTTTCGTGTTTCTGTAAACTACCGTAATATGGGAGGTGGGCGTCGCTGTTGCCCGATTTCAAAGATTTTCAACAAATTTCTTAGCTGGATCCTAGGCAAGGCTCATACCGAGTTTGGTAATGATTGGTGAAGCGGCTACTAAAGTACAGTATTTCATCATAAATGGGCGGGGTCACGCCCCTTTCCCAAAAATTTCATAATAATAATATTTTGTACCAAAATTCTACTTCACATACTTATTTTCAAAAATTTGGATCCAATATTTACGGAAATATCATATTTTTTGCCTTTTTCGAAAAAAGCGTTGTATGAGAAAGGGGCGTTATATGAGAAACAGTCCGATTTCGCCCATTTTCAATAGCAAACTACCTTGGATAAACCTTCATACCGAATTCCGTTGAGATGTCACAATTTTTGCTCGAGTTATCGTGCACACGGACAGACTTCTCTTCTCATTGTGATCACTTATGTATACATTTGTCTATATCTATCTCGCTTCCTTTAGGCTGTTACAAACAACCGTTATGAGAACAAAGTTATAAAACCCTGTGCACAAGTGCAGTCGGGTATAAAAATACAAATGAGTTCACTACGATGGGTTGTAAAAGCGAAAAATTATTTCTTTGGCTAGTCCCTTTAGACGAAGGATATGCCTTGTAAATTCCTTGGCTAACTTATTTCACAAAACCAAAAGCTTATTTGAACTAAATAATTAGAACTTACAATATTAGGTCTAGCTGGTGTTCAACGTACGAGTTTACTATATACTTTAAATGCTACTCAATGCGCATCAAAATTTAATTCTGTTGATGATTTTTTTACTATTTCTGAGTTAATTTGTTTGTCTTTAATATAAATATTAATTTATTTTTAATTTTATTTTATTCCTTTTTTAATATATTTACTTATATTTTTTAATATTTTATTTTATTGCATTATATTTTTACTTCGTTTTATTTTATTTTAAGCTATTACTTTGTTTGTTTAAAAAATACAACACTTCCTTGTCCATGCGATTTCAGTCCGAATCGCCGGCGCTTAGTGCAAGTATTTTCAAAGCAGAATACAGTGTGAAAAGAAAAAAGATACAATTTAGCTATCTTCTCGTATAAGATAAAGTCCTAATATACTCAATTATCCCAAACGCATTCTTTAGTTCTCTTTCGTGGACCACCACGCTATAATCCAAAACGTCGGTCGACGGTCGGTTGGCCAAGTGGCAGCTGCGCAGGCAGTTGTGCAGGTAGCCTTATGGGCACTTTGTCACGTAACGGTACATGTGGCCAACACGGACCGCCGTCGCCATGTCCATCCGAACATATCCCATACAGCTCCGCTAGTTCAAGCCTTTCAGAAGGATCATCAGGACATCGTTCACACGAGGATGACATCAGCATTGTAACAGGTATTGTTTCTTTTAATTCAGTATGTGTTTTTATTAATTATTATTGTCAATTAAGTTTGCATCTCATTATTTTTGTACTTTTTACTAATGACTAAATATATTCATACAAATTATGAAAAACGTAATACCTGCATATCATGGTAGTGGGACAAACTTCGAGTTCAAAGCCAGAATGTGATATACGGCAGATAATGCACAGATGCTAATGTTTAAGTTTTTGTTAACGAAGTAATAATAAATTTACTACTTAGTTCCACAAAAACAAGGTTATACATGCATTGACGGTCAAAATAATAACAGCAAAATTCAAAATGATGCTGTTGGCAACTTATCTTTATTTATATATCGTTAGTAATGTTCTTTTAAAATATGGGTCGATCTAGTATATGTATCAGATACCAAATAAATACTACGTTTATACGCATTTATTATTTGCAAATAACAACTATTTTTATTTGCAAATAGCTTACGTATAAACGTAGTAAAATACAAGTTTCAAATCTTGCACAAAGTTCACAAAAAAACGTTAAATAATGTTGATCAAAATGATATGCAAAATAATGTTCATCAAAATGTCGATTTGTTTAATTAGATTTCCTAGAAAGAGTTCGAGTACTAGTATAATAAAGTGCAAGTTTCAAGTCGATAAAAATTATTGAAGATTTTATTGCAACGCTTTTATCAACTTGCAATGGTGTGTGTCCAGACACCATTCATTGCTATAAAACCTTTGCTTTGCAAAGATCCTATAAAAGTCTAGACATCAACCTCGTCGCCTGGTATCATATCAAAACTCTAGAGGTAGATGTCGCCTCGCCGCAAGTAGTTATATATTGCGCCTAAAAATTTCCACTACACACGCTATAGCGGAAATGGGCGATTCGCCATTCGTTTAAATGAAATATATTGGTGCTCGTAGGCAGCGTTGCCACTATTCGCCTTTTCCGACCAAATTTGGTCGCTTCTTTTTCATTTGGTAGGTTGGTCGGCAAAGTAAGATTTTGGTCGGATAGTTGAATTAAGTTTTTAAATTCTTAATTATAAAAATATATATTTCAAACATCATTTTGCATATAACTATTTGCCAATTGTAGCTTTTAAAAATATGCCAATCCTGCCTTTAAAAATAAGAAACCTGATTGGGTTGGCCACTGATGGAGCCAATGTTATGGCTGGAGACTTGGGTGCAGAAACCAATTTATTTTATATAAAGTGAACATGCCACTCACTTGCTCAAGCTACGCTTGTAAGAAATTGCCGAAAAGCATTCAGACACTATGCCGCAACATATATAGTTTCTTTTCCCACAGTCCAAAGAGGATACATGAACTGAAGGAATTTGAGGAATACTGTTCGGTAAAAGCCCACAAAATCCTGGTCATATCTCAAACACGATGGCTTTCACTAGGAAGCGTAGGAAGTAAGAATAGTTGAGCAATGGGATAGTTTGAAACTTTATTTTATTTCCTGCTTATACGAAGTAAACGGTATGCGATTTGGAGACCTGGCAGAAGGAATGTGTTGCAAAACGAAATGCAAATTTTTTATTTCTATCGTATATTTTCCCCATAATTAACAATCTTAGCAAAGAGTTCCAAGCTGAAAGCTCTCGTTTGCCATACTTATATGTAACTATCAAGACACATTATCTCTTAATTTTTAGTAACTTTATTAAAAAAGATGCGATCAGTAACATATTATTGTTGATTTTAAAAATGAAGTAATCATGTTAAAATATCTGACATTTTTGTTGGAACGAAAGCTGAGATGTTTATGAAAAGTAATGTCAATTACTCTGGAATCCTTGAAGTTAAACTTTCAAATTCGTGGAAATTGAGAGAACAAAATGGCAAATCTCTTGGAGAGGAAGTTCCAAATTTTTATTGGAAAAATTTTAGCTTGCAACAATTCGCAAGTAAGAAAAATAGCTGATTGCATGTTGCTGAGTGCAATTTGTATTAATAAGGAAACAGTTTATTGGGTTTTTATAGATGAAATTGATAAAATAAATCTATTTAAATATGAAATAAGACATGAAATATTCTGTTTAGTTGAAATTATTAATACCTATCTCTTAACGCCAAAAGGCATCTTACATTTATGATTAGTTGATTATGATTTATGATTAGTGGTTTGATAACCCAACGATGGAATGCTTTGTAGAAAGAATGTTCAAACTCGGTATAAGCTTCTTTTCAAAATGTCCATGGTCGGTTCTACACGAACGCAAACCAAAGCGATTTTTAGACATTTTCAAATTTTGCATATTAAGGACCTCTTCATTTATTGCATCTGACAGCTGGTACTGATACTGATAAGTATTTCATATTACCGCCTTTCGTCGAAAAACATGTATGTAAAAACTTGATTATTACGATTGAAACAAATTTGGACGTAAGGAAATAAATTAGTTCAATTAAATACATATCTACATACATGCATAAGTATGCATCGCAATTTTACAACAGCATTAGTATATTTCCCATTTAGTAGCAATGAGCACAGCAAATGAAAAATCAAAAAGGTGTTTTCAGAACTTATGAAAAAATTAAGTAGACTTCCTTACGCTTATTATTTTTGTTTAACGTTGCCAGCATCTAACATTTTGGTGAAGTACCATTATAACCTTCAATTCTAAAACAATGTAATATGTACATATTTTTGTAATCTTAATCACGTAATATATAAAACAAATGAGGCGAATTGAATTAGCCGGTTGTCACGGTTGCCAAGAAATCGAGTACTAAGCGTCACTCGACGGCCATATATGTACATCCATAAGCCCTAAGTTTCTCCCGCATCTTTATGTATAGAAATGTAAAAAAGTACGTGCGAATGAAGCGTTAGTTCCGAACGTAGTAATTAGTCGAAACTTTTCCTTGGTCACACACTTACACTATATGAACCTACAAATGACTATGTATGTAAACCATTTTCTTTATCTATTCATCGTATTTTTTCATATACAGATAAATCACTTGGTGACACCAGCGACATAATTAGCGACTCATCTGGTGTCGGCACAAATTCGGACTCGGCTGCGTGTTCCATTGGTCATCCAAGTACGACGGTCGTATGTATGGAGCCATATCCCGGCAACACTACAGGGCACATTTCATTGCAACCAGGCGATGTTATCGAAGTGGTCGGATCTACCGATTGTGGGCTTTTGGAAGGATATATACGGGGATCCAATCAATCAGGTTTCTTTCCAGCCGACTGTGTACAAGAAGTTAACTTGCGCCAAAAGAATATTACAAATGTATCCCTAGCGGCTATACCGGTTATAAGTGGCAGTAGTAACACTAGTAGCCAGTCACCATATTCACAGCACACATCGATGGATGGTTCCATTAGTGGCTCAGCGAATAAACAGAGTTCACCTCAGCTAAGCATGCCAAGTGTTAGAATGGCTGCGCATACTGCAAATAGTGGTGGCACGCTGCCACGCTCAAGTATTCCACCTACCCACGTCCATCACTCGCCTTCTGTGTCACTAAATAGCAATGGTTCTGGCTCGGCGATGAATGGCGGGAACGCTGATACGGAAAGTATTAAAAGCATAGGCATGGTAATGAGTAAAGATATTGCAAACGGGGGCAGTGGAGCCTACAACGCCCCACAATTAATCGGTCAATACAACAGTGCCACAGCTCCAAGAATGAAGAAATCGTAAGTATGAGTACTTAAACAAATTTAAAATATGAACTAACCATTTAAAGCTACATTCTCCGTTCGCAGGGGTTTCAATGATCCGCGCACGGTAGTACTACATCGAGCTAAGCGTGGTTTTGGTTTCATACTGCGTGGTGCAAAAGCTTCGTCCCCGCTCATGCAATTAAAGCCAACAGATCGCTTTCCTGCCTTACAGTACTTAGACGACGTAGATCCCGGTGGTGTAGCAGATATGGCAGGCTTGCGTCCAGGAGACTTTCTTCTTGCCATCGGAGGCGAAGATGTTCGAGCCGCTTCCCATGAAAAGGTCGTCGAAATGATACGATCTGCTGGGGCGCTTGTCTCAATGACTGTTATTTCCCCGCAATTTCCCAATCAAATGCAAGCTTCAGCACAATTCTTGCCCAGTAGTCACCCATTATCTAGCGGACCAAGCACACCCCAAACCTCCCATCGTCAATGCGCAACTTTGCCGCGCAAAATGTCTATGGGGCCCGGTAGTGCCGCGACTGCCAGTATTGGTACTGGTAGCGGTCGAATGCCTGCTCCACTACCACCACGCCGAGATCCAAAAACCACACTGAGCGTTGGACGGGCAAGAGCAAAATCTATGGTGGCTGGTCTGGAAAGTGGTGGCGAAAAAGATGACGACGACTTGCCACACACCAAATCCTCATCAGTGGAGTCTATTGTAACACCCACACCCACTCATCCTGGTACACCGGTACAATTACGTACAGCTAGCATCAAAGCTAGGCCAACATCTAGCCGCATAACCGCCGCCGAACTAGAGGAGCTCTTCCAGCGTCAGCAGGGCGAAGCAATTGATGGCTCGAATCGCTACTCCACTATGATGACTACGTCCCGCTTTCAATCTGGAACAGATAGTGGTGCAGCTACACCACCGGCCTGCACCAATTCACCGATGAAAGCGCCACTTGTCTACGGTAGCGTTGCAGAAATGAAACGCAAAACAAAAACTAAAAACGGTACTTTGCGTGGGAAACCGTGCCCAATTCCAATTGTGGGAGGAACTGGTGCTCGTGATCTGAAGCGTTTCCACTCAACTCCGGACCTAAACGCACACTTAAATGGTTCTGCATCATCAATTTGGGCCGCGGCGAGCAAGGGACACCATTCGCAAGATGATGTCGCCACTCTGCACGCTTCTATGCAGCGTCTTAATATGCTACCGCCACCGACACACCCCCCACCACCGCCGCCTGTTGGTCAAGTGATTAAAGTAGAGACTCGCAGCACATCTGAATATGAATCCACTCTATCGTTACAGCAGAAGCTAAAGAAACGAGCTGAAAGTGATGTGGTCACTGCTGCTGCCATCGATGGAGTTCAATCGAGTTTCAACCCCTCTGCTAATGCCAAAATTTATGCCTCACCCCAAGAACTACGCAATGTCATGGCTTGGAAACTACGACAAGCGCAGGAGGTGAGTAAACACACGAATACTAAGCAATTTCATAATCTGTAATGACTTTTTTTTATACGTTTAAAGAGTCGCCAAAGTCAAAGTAGTCAGCCGCATCAGCAACAACAGCAGCAGCAACTGCAGCAGCCACTAAACTTGAATATACCGACAACACCTATAACACAGTCAACAATAAATCACCCTACAAAAGCCCAAAAGCAAATTTCTAGTAGTCAGTATGCCCAACCTACCATAAGTCAAGTGGTTCAGCAACAGAAGCAGGAGCAGAAGAAGGAGCAACAGCCACAACAAACGCTATATGATGAGAGCCAACGAAATGGCAACACTGAAGTCAGCAGTTCGAACAATAATAATATAACAACGGGATCCGCTCCTCCTATACCAGAGCCAGATTACAGTTTCAGTGAATCAGACGGTGAAGATGAAAACTCCATTTTAGTCGCTCGAAATACTAAATTAAACGAAAAAATCGCACTTATCGAGGTACCCGAGACGAGTGGAAATAGTCAAGCGAGGTGAGAGTTTCTGATAGTGTATCTGATTGATAAGACATTATTGCTCTATGTATATTTTTATCTAGTTGTGTGAAAACGTGATATGCATTTTATTAATATGGCCATTATGTTTTAGCGGGAGCAGTTCTGGTTCAGCCTCCATCTCTCACTCTCTGTCCGTGGATGAAATCCAGCGCGTCCGCAGCAATTTGAAACAGTCAAAGTCTTCGCCAAACGGTTTCCTTAAAAACGAAAGTGGTCAAAGGTTCGAGTCGGCAAATACAGTACAGAGTAAGCCTACTCAAAGCAGTGCTGAAGATCAGAAAAATAACAATAAAGACAGCGCTAATCAGGCTAACGAGGTAAACGAGGAAGAAGGTGACAAGAGTTCCTCAAGTGTTAGCAGTGACCAAGAAGTTGCAGGCGGAACGTCCAAGCGGGACACTCCCAAATCCACAGATACAATTAAGAAAAAGCCCAGCGTCACAATTGACGACGAACCTAAGACAACACCTAATCCAGCCAAAGAGCCGCAAAACACTACAACGCAATCGAATGTCGTTGAAGAAAGCGTGGTTGACAGTGCGGATTCTCCTGCGAGTTTTTCACGAACCATAACCAATGCCACAGCAGAAGACTCGAAACCAGTTACTGCATCTACTTCAACAACACCAAGTGGAACGCTACAGGACACTTCAGCAGTAGTGATTTCTGACACCGAGAAAATTCCCACATCTACCGTTGCCAGTACAGCTGCTGCGTTTGAGGCCAAAGCAACAGCCACCACAGTAACTGTTAAACAAATGGTACAACAGCAACACGCCCCTGTAATACAACAGCAACAACAGCAAATGTCAGCAACGAAAGTTAAGTCCTTAGTTATCCAAAGCCAACAGATAAGTAGCAGCAAAGTTCATGCCAATGCAAGCGGCCGTTTATCACAGCCACATTCCAATCATACAAAGCAACAGCAAACAGCGAAAATTCTACCCGTAAATATACCACAACAGCACTTGCATCCGAATCAGAAATTGCTCGCTACCCAACAGCACATATTTTTACAGCAGCAGCAACAACAACATCATCAACAACAGCAGCAGCAACAGCAACTGCATCAACAGCAGCTAGCGCATCAGCAGCACTTGCAGCAAATATTGAAGGCGAAAGCAGCCGCTGCTGGCGTTGCAGGTGCAAACACAGCCGCCATAGTCACCAAGCAGCAACAGCAACTGCATAAAAAATCCCAGCATGAAATGACGTCTGCCGTCTTCGAATCTGAACATGAACAGCGGTCTGAAGACGAAGGCGATTTAAGTCCCTCGCCACCGGCCAAAGCATTCCAGCGCCACAATTCCTTGACTCGAAAACAGGCAGCAGCCATTGCTATGCAGCGCGCCACCCGAAGCGCAGCCGTCTCTCTAATGCAGCTGCCGCCCCCAATCGAGGCGGACAGTGATAATGAGCCGTGCGTAACCGCCGGCAGCGGCGGGGGTAATAACGCCGTGTTGAGCGCCGCTGTGCAAGGCAGCGGTGGGCACGCGGGTGGTGTGGTGCCCATAGGCGCCGAAAACATTGTGCTAGCGCCGCCTCCACAATTCTGCGATTGCAATGACATCAAGCACGCCCCACAACAGCAGCTTCATCACATGCCACCAGCGCAGCAACACCTCCAACAACAACAACCGCAACAACACATGCATTTACAGCAGCAACAGCAATATCAGCTGCAGGTGCGCGCGCACATGCAAATGCATGGAAGCGGTGGTGGTGGCGGTGGAGGTGGAGGCGGCACGGCTGCTATGAACGTAGTTCCGGGTAATGTCGGAACTCTGGGACGCGTGCGCCTCGTAGGGACGGCTCCTAAAACCACACACCACCGATTTCATTGAGGGAAATTATTTAGATATAAAATATGTTTCTAAGTATATGTATGTCTATGGCATGTGAAAGAAGAGCAAAGTAATCTCCAGTGCTAAAACCCTCTACATATGTATGTATACAATACAGTATAACATTTTAATTAAGCTCTACTAAATACATATGAATTTATTGCAGTTTTTGAAATGCTCTGTCAACTTCTTAAATGCGGCAACTTATTTTTTATTTCTGAACAATTTGTAAACTTTGAGTATCCTTGCCGAATAAGTATCACCCTCGTTGCGAGAGTCGTGTAGAATCGAATCACGTCATTGCCTAAAATATCCACTCGACTAGTGTATTAAAACCAAAAAACTTGGTAGCATTGTATAGTTTTCGACGATTTTGGTCGTTTACTTATTTCAGTATGACAGTAGACAAAGCCACTGTCTACGAGTCGTACAATTTAGCCTTATTTACGACTTACGCAATGAGGCTGTATGTGTTGGAAAATTAATATAAATTAAAACATCAAAAAAAAAAAATTCCAAACAAATATATAATTAATAACAACGGAAGATAAGGCACAAGACCAATAGGTGCAGGCAGCAGGTCATTCTTATAAAATAATAAAAAGCTTACATAAAAGTTGAAATTGTGTAATGTGTATAGTGAGTTATGAAGCTGATATTAAATGGAAAAACATGTTACGAGAACCATATACATACTAAATAAAACCAAAAGTATTTACATACATAAATTCCCATGGAAAGCGCCGTATACCATGGCACCTAAATATAATTTATGTACGTCTTGTGAACGATGGCCAACAATGTTTTTTTCGCAAGAAATCGGTTTGGGCAAAGCTTCATAGGCGCCTAAACTAAAAGAAATAAAAAAAAAAAAACAAATTTATGTTCACTCAATGATATCGCACTCAGCTCTATCCTTCCTTTTTTCAGAAAAGTATAAACAGCAGAAGAACACATATGTATGTACATACATAAACACATAATTTTAAGTGGAGGCAAGTGGCTAAAGGATATGTATTCCAAGAAGAAAAGTCTACAACTAAATATACTTTGTTCAGGCCCCTTGCCCAAAGCTGTAATGTGTGTGTGTACATACATAGACAAATTTAATATGTACAGTTGTCCACAAAATAATAGGAGTGCGATATTTTGACCAGTTTTGGCTATTTGTCTTTTGTTTATTTAATGTTTATTATTTTTTTATAAAAGCCTAGCTGGCTATACAACAAACACCATATAAATTCAGATTTTAAACTTTGTATAAAAATTATAAAAATTTTGCAATTTTTCACCCAAATTTCAAACTTTTTAATCAGAATCTTTAGAAAAAATTCTGGTATGCAGTTTTGTAGCACATTCAATTCTAGTCTGAAGAAGTGCAAGTTTCAAATATATAAATATAAAAAAATAATAAACATTAAATAAACAAAAGATAAATAGCCAAAACTGGTCAAAATATTGCACTCCTATTATTTTGTGGACAACTGTATGTACATGCAAATGTATAATTATTATATACAGCTTGCATTACACCGTCATGGCAGCAATGTGGAAGAATAATGATGATTATATTTCCTCGTGCATACTTACACATTTTTGAATAAAATGTAATGATCTAAATTTATTGGAGGTTAATGAGGAACATAAGTAAGTAGTTCATTTTATACACAAACTTCATTTTATGTAAAAACTAATTATTATACTTGTGCGACTTTCATTTAATATCGCAATATTTACTGATGCGAAGAAAAGTATCTCACCCCTATTGCGAATGTCGACTGGCAGTAGATAAACGACTATTAAGCGATTATCGATTATCGATGCTATTGCGAGTGTCGCTTAGTCGCTCAATTAGCGACTGTGAATACTTTTTAATCGCTCATCCTTCTATTGCTGTTTTTTAGTCGTTGGAGTTTGCGTTTATAAAATTTACATAAGAAAGTGGTACTATAATGGATAAAAAGTAAGTCAATTGAACTGGAAGTTGTAAAAAATTGTGAAATATACATATGCATGTATGTGTCTGAATTACAGATCAAAAATTATAAGCAACAAAAGGCAACTTGCGCGGTTGGTCGTACTGATGCAGGAGAGTGAAGACATAGGCAAAGGAATTTCCGGAAAGAGTAGGGTAGGAAGCTCCGCTTCTATTGGAAAAGATACATATACAATATATCTTGTGCATATAACTCCGGCTACGCCATCCACAGTGTTTTTGCGCAGAACCAACATCAAAAGTTTATACAAAAAAACTGCATAATTTATTAATTGACTAGTGCTCGGAAATTTGAAATCTTTATTTTAAATTAAAGTTGAATTCTTTCAATACACTTGTTATGTTAAAGTTTTTAAACTCGGGTCACGCATTTGGACACAAAAACCCAACATCATTGCACAAAAAACTTAACCGTACCGTATTTCTTAAACTTCCATAAAGTTTATTAATGAGGAAAACAGCTTTTCCTGCAAATCATGTAAAGCCTAAAAACCGTGAATCATCGGGAACGCAACTTTTGTTCATAAAACTCACATATGTACATACACCTTCCAAGTCCAAGGGATCCGACGAATCTCGCAATTCCCTCCTTGCTTTAGCCAACTCTACTAATCTATTAGCTTCCGCATCATCTTCCTCATCACTAAACCATATTTCAACTGTGACCATTTTTTAAATTTAAATAAAACACTCAAGAAACAAATGTAAACAAACAAACAGCTGTTTACAATTCTGTCAACCATTCACAATAGTACAAATTTTTATCGATCAAGTTACACAATAGCAAAATAAAAGATGATCGACTCGATCGACAAATTTCTATTCTACTGCCAGTCGACACTCGCAATAGGGGTGTCTGTCTCGCCTGTGCTCGGACTAATAGAAAACGTTTTTCGAGCTGATTCTTTGAATAATTTTAGGCTTTTCAAATCGCCAGCAAAATACGAAAGGTAATTTATCCGAAAAAGCATAGACCTTTGCACACCCAAAAAAAAAACAATTTACTTGGTGCGGCATTTTTCGTTCGGACTATTTGCGGGTTCCGGGTTTTTTTTATGATTAGCGTGAACTATAAAGTGTGTGCTGTGAGTTGTAATACTATTACGATAAATTGATATGTGTCTGGATATTAGCAAATAGCAAAGGAATTGTTTGTGATAGATTTTTTTCTTTCGCCCTTTTCATTGCAAAAGCTTCCTTCTTGAAACATGGCCTGACTCCGTACGACCTGGGTTCGATTCCTTGGCCGAGCAATATTTTAATTAGAAAAATAATCAGCCCTATTCTGCATTTCGACTCGAATCGAAATTTTCTCCGTTTGGCAACTTTGGTATTCTGCGTTCCGTTTCCTTACGATCAACCTTCGAAATTTACGATTATGCCTATTCTACATTTCGATCGTAGTTCCGTTTTTCTAAGTTGCAAATTTTTTGACGGAGAACGTTTCAATTGTTATTTTCGTGGGTTTAAGTAATAAAATTTTATAAAAAAATTAAGTAAAATATACTATGCATGATTGTAAAAGTCATCATAAATGAATTTTCTCGATTTCTGTGTTTTCGCGAGCGGTAATACGGGCAAAACGAAAAATAATGGCAACCAAAAGGTATATTGCGCGACGTTTTCAAAGTGGAAGTCCAGGCGTTTTTGTTTACATTATCTATAAATAAGACTGTGAAATGCACTGAATGCAATTTATTCTTTTTATATAAAATTAATAGATGTATGCACATAGATACATACATACATAAAATGTGAAGTTACATAAAAAAGATGCTTTTATTATTGCACTCGTTTTTACTAAAAGAGGTGCGTATGTTGCCTCGAATTCGATTTGCTATGGAAAGATAAGCTTTGTTCTTCCCCTCCTCCTGACGGCTTACAAAATGGGATTCATTTGCGTTCAAATCTTCCACTGTAGTAAATGCAAATTTTGTGGAGTGCTCAAACAACGTTTATAATTTCACTGACTTTAAGCGATGAGTAATACAGTTCAAGATGAATTCCTTATGACTCTTCACTCATCTGAAAAAGATCAAACATATCCCTAAATCTCCGCCTTTCAACTTCCGCATCAGCAATCTGGGACTCGTTCTTCTCTTCAAGCAATAACGCAGCGGCTATGGATTTCATTCTTATAATTATGTATCCACTTAAATTTTATTTTTAAATTACAGTGATGCTAGGTATATTTAGTTATTTTAAAATATTTACAAACTTTAACTTCATATGCTGCTATAGTTTGGTGGCAAATATTTCTTTGTTTTGTGTCGATTTCACACATTCCTAGGCAAACAGCTGATTTCGAAAGATGTTTTCTCTCTTCCTCTTCTTCTTTCGTTTCGATTGTAACGCAGAATACCTAAGTTCGATTCCAGCGGAGCGGAATGCGGGAACGTAATCGAAATGCAGAATAGGGCTGAATAATTAAAGCTGGCTAACACTAGGCTAATGTCGAAAAAGTAATTATTGTAGAATATCCTTCACGAAAACAATACAAATATAAATAGGAAGATACTTATGATCCGTGAATGTCAGTCGTATGCACCACACAGCCAAAAGTGAACGTTTTGCCCTACGAAAAGAGCCGTTCTCGATACCAAGTGCCCTGCCTTGCTTAGGTCAGTTTTTCTTGCTTAAAATACAGGATGAATTAGTACTAATGATATTAGATCAAAGAAACCGAACACAGCATGTACTCGCACTCTACTCGTGCATGGGCGCATAGAGTTCAGTATGGTGTATGCATACATATATACATACATACGTACCCTTTGGGGAAAATCTCTAGTTCTGAACTGGGGCGCTTCTAGTACATTTAGACCCAGTACTGGTTCGCGATAAATCTCTTTTGCATGCAAGCAACTGGCGAATTTAACATGGCGATGTCCTAGGAAGTGTCAATTGCCCCCCGCTGCATCCCTTTTTCGATAGTTCCGAACTAGTCCTAAATTCTATAGTTCCGAACCAGTTCTGAAATCGACAGACGAAAGAAAAAAGTATCATGATTTTTCAATCTTTTTGGTTCTTCCGTGTGTGCGATTTTAAGTTATTTTGGAAGAAATGTGTTTTCAATTTGAAATTAAATTTCTTTGAATGATTGTAAGAAATGTACGTTTACATACCTTTGGCTGTAGCTGAATTTTGCCGAGGTGCTTGGTGTTATTTCTTAGATTCCAGACGGTCCCAAGATGTTGAAATGTTAACACAAATTTTAGTTTTGTATTACCAAGCTATGAAAAAGCATCTGCGAAGCGCAGAATAGAAGCGTATTTGAACGAAAAAGCCGCCGAACACATATCTATGTAAAGTAAACAAGCCCCCCGCTGCATCCCTTATTCGATAGTTCCGAATTAGTTCTAAATTCGACAAATAAGATCTAGTTCGTTCTGCATCCCTTTTTCTATAGTTCCGAACCATTTCTAAATTCGTCACTTTAGATATCGATTTCTAGTGAAAAAACTGAAATAAATTAGTTTTTTAAAAGTACCACTTTTCTCCGAGTTTGGACTGGTGGGGATTTAGTTCATATCGGACTAGTTCGTTTTTGGCGATAAAGACCTAGTACGGAACTAGAAATTTGATTCACTAGTCCGCGGTTTCCCTGCAGGGTATGTATGTTCACTCTAATACATATGTATATATTGTTAATGAAATCTTGGAACGCGCCATTTGCCATTTTTTTAAGATCGGTTTGTACATGTACTAAAACGCCGTAACTTCTTCTTCTGAGTGCCGTAACTAAAATACCATCATTGTCCTTATGATTCTTT